AATCGTGGACACAAGGCTTTACATAGACAACAGAAATAACTAAATTCCAACTTACCAAAAACCGTGCATCGACGCACAATGGAATATGGAATAGGCAATAGGAACAGAATTTCCGACGCGATGGATTTCTGTTCCCTATTCCCTGTGCCTGACCTACCCGACCAATCACAGTTGAGATCATGTTGGACCATGATTATGGCGCTGTCCGCGTTCAGTGCCGCCAACCTCACATCGCTCTCCTTCGGGGCGAAACTGCAAAAGGCGGATAACAATTAATGCGTATCTGTTCGAACAACCGCGATAAGAGATACAACCCGTTCCCCGGCGTTTACGTTTTCCGTCGCCTCGTTTTTGCGTTACAATTTCTCTCGGCGCGCTCGTCCTCGTTCGATCGCTTTGCGGACGGTTGCATTCCTGAACGGTCGCTGAACAGTGAACAGGTTACAGGCGTGGTGTCCGTGCTCCGTGTTCACGCGAGAGACGCGGAGAGACGGCACGGCAAAAGGCCGACATGAGATGCTGATCGGCTGAGTGGGTCGCGACTACAGAATAGATAAGAGACAGACGCACGATGGCAGACTCGTCCTACGAGAAGGGGCTGACCGAGTTGTCGAAGATGAAGGTGAGCGTGGCGGGTCGAGTTGTATCTGCAGAGCGGTCCTCGCCGTTTCTCGCCGACACCCTAACCAAACTTCCCGGAGCGCGGCAGACGGTCGCCCGGCCGCCTTGTTTTGCTGAGTTTAAGATTCTTGCCACTCTCACGGCTTTCTCCACCTTTTTTTCCGTAATTTTTTAAACCTTTGTAGATAAAGCCGGAAAACTTGCAAGATGTTTCACGCCGACTTGTTTTTGCAATTTGCTATTTTCCCCTGTCATTTCTCTTAAATCTTCATTACATTGCTGTACATTTCACCAGGTGGCTGACCTCAGACTAGAATTAAAGCAACGAGGACTTCCCACTACAGGAAATAAAAATGAACTGGTAGAGAGACTTCAGCTCGCAATTCACGGAGGTTCCGTTTTCATCGCATTTAAATCCCTTCCTTCTATATCTGTGCATTTGTAAAGGAATTATTTATATCTTGTAGATTCTGCACTGTCCTTGGACGAAACTGCGGAAGAGATTTTGGACGAAGATGATGTACTTGGCGTAAGTCCGTTCAAGTGCAACAATGCCAATAATAATAATATATTAGACGCAGCCTAATATATGATATACCTAAATATTAGTTATTTTTTAGTAAAAATTTTGAATTAATTGCAGGACGAAGAGATCGAGGAATTGTCCAGTAAACCAGATTCACAAGAGGTCGTTGAAAAGCGAAAATTGTCCATAGAGAGCAACAACACCAATACAAAAAAGATAGTACTGAACCGCAAACCTGTGTTGGAGGAAATAAAGAATGACCAGGTAGAGAAGAAAGAGAACATGGGAGTGAAAATTCCCGAGGACATACCGCCGGAGAAAAAGATTATCAAACTGTCGGAGCTCAGCACGAAGGAGGTAATGGAAGTTTATGCTATTCTTACAGCTGAATCGAGTAATAAAATTTATTTTATTACCCTCAAGCTCTCAACGATGCTTGCTGTATTGCTTCTCAATATATAATTGTGTAAATTTTTTGACAGAGATTGGAAATGAGGGCTAAGAAATTTGGTGTACCGTTATCCGAGGCAGCGAAAAAAGAGGCTAGACTAGCCCGTTTTAACGTAAATAATCAAAATAACAAATCGGCTGCGTCAATAAAAACGCCCGTGGTAAGAAACTAATAGTTCGCTTGAACGGCGCTCGCGTCATCGAGAAATCATAATTCGGAATTATTTTATGACAATTGAATTTTTCACAGCCTACTACATATGAAGTACTGAAGAAACGTGCAGAAAGATTTGGAAGTTCGGTATCCACCTTGATGGAGAAGGTGAGTAGAGACGTGCATCCTTGCGAAAATAAGCGCACGTTTTTCAAGACTTTCCTATTTTCATTGTTGGTTTTATCGTAAATCTCGTATTTCTTTTTTTTTAAGGCTGAATTGGCTGAACGATTGGAGAAGAGAAAGGCCAGATTCGGCGAAGCAGATCCCACGGAGAGTAAAGTATCTAAGAATAAAGTTAAGATTGTTAAATGATACTCGGTGTTATATACGAAAGCGACGATCTAGAATACAAAAAAGTCTTAATTTAAGTTTTCTTATTTTCAATAAAGCTACCGTACAACGAGAAGAAGCACGACTCGTTAAAGGCGATGTACTTTTTAATACCATTGTCACGTCAGTATTAAAGCATCCATACTTCTCTCTACGTTTTCTCTTTATATTGCCTTGTCACATGCGAACTCTTTCTTAAAGAAATGGACGAGGAAGAGATCCTCTTAGAAATTGTAAATGGATGTATCACACCAATAAACTCACGTACACAACGTAGTCGTAGTTCAATCGGCGCGAAAAACGTTACCTAAGATTTCGGAATTTCAGGATGACGAGGTAAAAATGTCACACGCATAATGTGCATGCGCGTTTTAAGTATAGGTCTGTTTCTTGTAGCTGAATAGGTGCAGCCAATTAAAAGAATAAAATTGAAACTGCAATTATCTGAATTATTTTGTCATTTATACCACACACCCTTTTTTCTATCCCATTCTCCATATATTGTGATGGTTATCCAAAATTTAGCTTTTCTCAAAACTTACAATTTTAAACAATTTTGAAATCATGATTTCTGGAAATCTCTTAGAAAATTTGTGAAATTTTAGCGCTACTTCTTACCCATTATATTCCCCTTTTCCGATTTCTCGGAAGTATCAATTATATTCTTGGAAATTTAGATAGTGCCACCTCTTTGCCGATTATGTTCTCCTGATACTTTGCCAGTTTTCGAGATTCCCGATTTTCGCGATTTGAAGTTTGAAATTGTCAGAATTTCATGGCTGTCCTGGTACCTCACGTTCGTTAAGCCCGTATCAGACTACAGATTGAGATTGAGAGTAGATCGAAATTTGACCAATTAAAGTAAAGGTTACTAAGCTTGAGATTAGTTCGGGATTAAACGGGCTTGACAATAGACATTTCATTCTCCTCAATCTCCCGCGGCACTACGCTCCGTCCAGGTACGTCCATGGCTGCGGCTGCGAGAAATGATTTTGGGCGCGCAATAATTTTACAGATGTATCGATTAATCGAACAACCTGTTCGAGAGAACTAGATTCCAGCAGGGTATTTCCTCGCAATGATTTGGTGAGAAAGTGCGAGACATCGGAGTGCCGGCACTGCCGGCATGCGTGCTTTCCCAAACAATTCGCGTCGCAGAATATCTTGTTTGTTTACTCCGAACTTTTCTCGCGATACGACAACGTTTTTAGGCATTTCCGAAGACACGTGGGAGCGTTCGTTGCATCGACATGCGTGGCTCACAATTGCTGATATACATCGTGTTTCACCTGTGCGCGCTCTTCACGAATGTCTATTGCGAGGAGGCTGACATAATCGATGATGTCACGCCGTGAGTATCTTGGCACTTTAATGTGTATTTCGCCGTCAAAAATAAGTGCATTGAGATGCGTCTGTACACGCAGTGCGATTTCCTCCTAAGCTGCTTGCTTCCTTCCTTGCTGTAAGCAAAACGATTCACCTAACGTATACGATTATAGTCCAGACAACACACATGTCTGAAAGACATCAAAATGTCTTTAAGACAATTTTTAGATATATGTGCATGTCTAAAGCCTGGTCTGCAACAAGTTGTCAAGTCCTTTTTCTTTCACCCAGATAGAAAAAGGCTTGACACATAATTTTGACTTTTAACAACTTGTAGATTGGGCTTTAAGACTTAACAACGGCTAAAATGTATCCTTAAAGCCTATCTACGATGCTTTCTGTGTCCAGAAACGTGCTATTTTATGTAAACAAATCAAAACACTTGAAAAATTCGTCAATGTATAATATGCAACTTATCAACTTGCACCAATATTTTAAACATATTTATTGGCTACAAAAATAGAACATTTCTAGATGCAGAGAGCGCTTTGTAGATTAGACTTTTGACAAGCGTGCTGTCTGAGAAGAGCCGTCCTACAACATATATAAATATATTATTAACATTCTTACGCGTTATAGATATATAATATGTATTTAGATCTATATAAATGTATCTTTCATTTTAGAGCCACTCCCGAACTGGGCAAAGATCTACACTCGTTCTTCTACATGGCCCCGGAAGATGACTTGCCTAGGTATACGTTATTCCACGTATGAATTCCATGTCAACTTTTGAGCAAGTTGACAGTTCATTTTGATTCCCTCATATTTCAGCCCGGTGCCAGAGACGAGGAAAAACGAGCAATCGCTCACCATGGCGCAGCCATGTCGAGAACTGGATGAACGAAGCACTCAGGAAGGAATTTTCTATAAACGTTTGGTCACTATATTATTGGCAAATCTCGCGATACAGGCAAGTTGATGCTGATAATTGAAAAGACATAAAGTCTAACACCACTTGTACAGAAGCCCGTTACTCAAAGTCAAATACAAAAATCCTTATTTTGATGCAATAGAGCTAATCGACAAAGTTTGCTTGCAGAGAATCGATGACAGATTGATTGGGACGCTTAACATAGAGGCACCTACTTCGCAATTCGAGTACCTTCAGAACTTTGTAAACCAAGGCCAAGGTTCTATAAGGGAGGTCGACAGAATTCTCGACAGTGCGATAAAGCAGTCGGAATACTCGGCGTGCCACTATATGACAGAGGTGTCTCGTTATTTCAACTTGTTTGTGAGCAAAGCATCGGAGTACTTCACGTATTGTCTATTGTTTTTGAAAGAACACGTAAGAATGAGTAATTTAACGGTATTTATATTTAAAGTCTACTTTCCACATATTTCGAGTTCACAAATTTAGTGATGTGGGTTGATTTTTTTTAACTGTTACAGGGGGAAATAACTGTAATCTCCTTTACAGTCATAGCTATTTTTATGATCTTGAGAAGGAAAAGATGCTCTCGAGGTTTACTTATCTTTCTCATGTTCGATGTTATATTTGCAATTAGCTTCTTCATAACTTGGTGGCGACTTATACAGGTAATTTGCATATTTTTTATCACAGAATCAATTAAACAATGACTGTAGATTATAATTTTTTGTTTAAAAATCTCTTCTGTTTTGCAGGAAGCAGAAATTAAATTAATGGCGAAACAAGCGCAATTTGCGGAAATGCCTATTGCCTGCCAGCCGCATAAAATGAATCTGTGGAACAAAATGATTACAACAGTTTTCGGTGAGTAACATATCTACAATATGTATTCGAGACACTAAATATATGTTATTTGCAAACAGAAAATCTCTTCACAACGAATAATGATTGTGAAAGATACTATGAAACTATCATGATGAATCCTAGACTGCAAGTGACACCAGCACAGGCACTGACTCACTTATTTAGTTCGGTCGTTTTCCAACCTTTCTCGTACTTTGGATTAGTTATATCTGAATTTATAGATAATGCTACCAGTAAGTAAATTACTTTAATGTCGATAATGCACATAGATCTATTCATTGTTGTATTATAACTGTTATGCATTGTTTCACAGGCAAATTGAACTTTTTATGCAAGTTTCCCATCGTAATCGTTCTTTTCTTAACTTTCTGCGTATGTATGATATTAATACCGTTTTCGTGGATTGGCGGATCTATTAATTTTGGTATTGGACCTTTCTTCAAATTTGGAATGAGAGGCAGACAGAACTTAAACGAAAAGAAAGAGCGCATTGAACGGATTCGCGAGGTATTAACTACACTTGTTGCTCTTAAAATTATTAATTTCTTTCTTCGTTGAAAGATAACTGTGTTATCATTTAACTGTAATATTTAAAACATTCCAAATATAATATTACAAAATTTCTGTAAAGTTATAAATACGTTTAAATGTACATATATTTCTTCTTATTATAGGAGACTTCATCTCCGATGAGACTGGAAGATTCAGAAAAGATGAAGCAAATTACGTTTGAGCAAGATAATGGTAATGCTAAAAAAATGGAAAAATATTTATAATAGATTCTTACAAATAGTAAAATAAATATTATCGAATATTAGATCCTGCTGGAGGCGACGCTGGTACTGATACACAACATCTAAGAGAAAGACGTAAAAAAATTAAGTGCAAAAGTAAAAATGGAGATGGAGATATCGTATGTGAAAAAGATGGACATTGCTAACAAAGTTCTCGCATTGTTGGATACAATGCTCCTCTCATTAATTTTTGTTTACACATTCTGATTATACAGTAATCAGTTTTATAGATTAGTAATTATTAATTATTTTATACATTAATAATTGATAAGCATATCGATGTTACATCCTTGAAATTATAAGCTCATTGTATTGTATAATAATATTGAGAGAACATTGGCGGGCATAAATTAATCCTAAAGTAACTGTATAATATTATTTAAATATTTCGAGAATATTGAAGATATTTATATTAATGTATCGTAAAGTAAACTTTGGTATATTTTGTATGTTACACTAATATATTTTAATATCTCTCGCTTGTAGAAGTACTTAACACATACGGATGAACTGCGAATCCTACTGGTACAGAGCGCCTTATATTTTTATAGATTAATACTACTTGCTGTGATATAAACATTGTATTTTATCGTAAGATCATATTAATCAAATTATCGCCATATGTGCATGTTATTTGTATAGCTTGTTTCAAGTATCTTATTAAACGATACATTGACTACTCAACACGATGTTTTATTACAATCGCCCATTACACATTTAATTGCCGAGTATTAATAATAAATTGGGAATACCATTCGTGCAAATTGCACAGAGACGAATAAACGGCAGATGCGGCGGAAATGAAAACACTCTGTTGTTCGACCGGTAGCCCGGCGGCTGCGCTTTATGTCAACTCAGCTTAATGATCGGTGAGCAAGCAAGGATTTGTCAAATTTGCTAAATGTAACGTCTGCGTTTCTCGCGTAATTTCGCCCATTCTGTGTACTCGCGTACGAACGATCCAGCTGTAATTGGACGAAAATGACCTCGTCGAAGTACGACGCTTAGAAAGTAAACTGTTGCAAAAGTCAGGCAAATTATAAAAAAAGAACTTTATCTTATTTGAGAACACATCAGATATTTCATTCAATCTTTTCAAGTAGCAGGAACGGTCGATTTTATTTTTAAAATAACGCAATCGAAACTCTTCCAATTTATTATATGCGGGAAAGAGTGCAAGACATATAATTCAATTCTTCTTATAAAAGCGCGATATATATTTTTATCAACATTCTATTATTCTCGTTTCATTTGTCTTCTCTTACGCGAAATATAGTTGAATATTATTAGTTGTACGTGCAAATCGTATAATGGACGTACAAGGTTTACACATTGAAAACGTTTCAATATTATATAAAATGCATGATGTGATCTTGAAAAAAACTATACTTTTCCGATATTAGAACAATTTATTTTCTCCGGCATCGTGCGATGAAATCATCCTCGTCGAATTAAGATAATATTAGAGCGTAGCAAATTTAACGGGCGGATTGAACGAGCGTTTTATTTCAGGAACTCGTTAGTTACCGTCGAGTATCTGCAAAGAATACATTAATTAGCGTCGAAGGTCGTGTACACGAGCGGTTTCTTTCACGCCAGCGAAAAACGCATTTGAAAAAGTTTGAAAAATAGGAGAGCGCGTTATCCTCCGCTTTTTTTTCTACGTCATCCGGCAATTTTTCACGGTATCGATCCTCCTTTTTACCGAAACAAACATTTTACGGCTCGAATTTGGAGCGTTAAAAGGTTTTGCATTATTGCAAATGTGTATACCTTTTATAGTCATCGGATTTCAATCCGTTAATGAGTCGAGAGTGAGGTATTGCATTTCCACCGGAAACGCACATTTACCGAAAGTGGGAACGCATTGCGGGCTTTTCATTACGCAAGATTTATTGCAAACTGTCGTGTCACAACTCTGTTCATTTTCTCTACGTGCATCTACACTAAACAAAATTGAATATATATAAGTAAATTACACACGTAAATTATGGTGCACACATTACAGTATAAGTAATATATAATTATAAGAATGTAATTAAAAGCCGTGTTGTAAAACACATATCACATCGAAGGAGCAACATTGCGAAAAACACGAACACGAAATACATTGTAAAATTAACGCAAAAAGAATTCTTTTTGTATTTCTTCAAATAAATGATAAATGATATATGTATGTATATGGAAAGTTAGAATTGTGTTGAGATTTTTATTCGGTTTGGTATTGCAGTGTTCTCTCCAAGCCAAGTTTTCATATGTATGAATTAAAGCTTGAAATTCTGAACTGGTACAACTAACACTAAATTAAAATTATTTTATATTTAAAGAAAATATAAATAAATATTTATTATCGTTGAACGGCGATTATCTCATTATTAAAAATATTGTTCAAAACTGTCGTGATTTTTAATTAATTATGAACGTGATGCTATTTCAAACTAGTTTTACTCTTCATCATCTCAATTAACATAAAATTAAAAAGTAAAATTAATTTTTATTATTTTAACGAAAATAAAAGTGTATTGGAAGAGAAGACGCTTCTCAAATATTCAATAAATGCTAAAATATGCTAACAACTATTTTACTATTATAATAAAAATTACATTTGAAACTTTCGCGATTTTTAATATAGTTCAAGCATAATTATGCATCAAGGTATGGTCTACTTTGGATTAGTTCAACTAGCACAATTAAAACCTGAAATTAATTTCCATTATTTCTGAGAAACTCAAATCACATTACAGAGAAAAAAACACTTCAAGTATTCATTAATGCTGAAACACAAGTGATTATTTCATTAATAAAAAAGTTTAAAATTATCGCTATCAAATTAATAGATAAGTCAACGCTCCTTGTAAGCTAAGTTGTGCATGAAAATCAACGGCTAAAATACGAGTAAAATGTTGGTATAAAATAATAACCACTTTATTTCCAGCGGTATATAAAAATAGTTAAAAGTTTCATCTTTATTTTCCTCGTATTTTAGCAGTTGACCTTCTTCCGAAGCTTGTCGCTATTACTTTCGCAATTTCCATTTCGTTCCTTAAGTAAATTCAGATATAGTGCATTATATTATGTTGTAAGCGTCGATCTCGCGATCTTGCGTTGCTCGCCGGCGTTGCTTTTCAGCCCCGGTCTCGGTGCAGGTTTATGCATCGTTCGTTCCATCAAATATTTGTTCTCGCGTTGTGCTGCTGGTACCACCGGTGGTATTTGCCTGGAAAGGATGCACCTTTTGGTTCCCGTCGACCTGGTGAGCTCCATTACATGCCCGAAGTAATACCAAAGAGAGGGCGGCCCGGCCGGTGTTGTGTGTTGCGTCTAGTTTCGCCGTTTGCGAACCGGCACCCGGCTCTGGTAGCTGCAACAAAACTGCAGCGTGTGTTAGTCAGTTTAGGGGAGTTCGCGTGTTGTTCGCGCGCAACTGCCAGCCCAGCCCTAAGTTCCTCGTAATTTCGCGAGGCTCTCCCGCAAAAATTGCTGGCGACGCGAGAGTTGCCGACCTGCGCAACGAATATAAACGAATTTTCCACGGCAAATTATATCTCTCTCCCTTCCTCGCGGCGGTCCAACGAAAAATTTTTATCACCGAACGTGATACGTTCGCGTCGTGCGCGAGAAAGGAAGATTGTCTTTCACGCTTATCCTAACACCGCTACAGTTTCTTCAAAATTAAAAGAAAGTGACGCGCACAAGTCATTCGTACGTTCTTCAATTTTTATCTTTTTTAAGCGGGAGGTCCAGGTTCAAACCTTGCCCGAGGTAAATTTTTCGCAAGAAATATTGTAGGGGTTTTCCCGGGATTTGTCAGTAGTGAAAGTAAATCTCACCTGGAAAATATAATAATAGTCACGATTTATTAAGGCCCGAACGATTCTAAATTCGCACTATACAAGAGCGTCACGAGTCTCCTTCGGGTGACACACGATATACAGGGTGTCCCAATTTAATGTTTCGCCCCAGATAACTTTTTATTTTTAATCGCAGAAAAAAACGTTTCAGACAAAAGTTGTTTGGTTCGAAGAGGGACATAAGATGGTGCCATTAGTTTGATCCTGCCGAGTTGCTTGATGGTCACGTAAAGGTCACCTTCAATTTTTTTAATGGAACCCCCTCAGTTTATTATACTATCTTATTCTAATTAATATGAACAACTTTTGTCTAAAACATTTTTTATTTGCCTAATGCTTTTTGAGATATTCAAGAGAAAATTTTAACTTTTTCAATGTTTAGCTTATCCCAAGGAGAACAAAAAGTCAGGATAATGTCAATTTGATGTCACATTGACTAAATTTATATCAAATTTTGGTCAATATGGCATCAAATTGACCAAATGACATAAGTAAATTTGGTCAATATGACATCAAATTGACATATCGTCCTGACTTTTTGTTCTACTTGGGATGATATCTCGATAACTGTTTGTCGGAGGAAAAAGTAGCACATGACTTTTTGACTTTTGATTTAGTCTCGGAAATATGCTGTTGCAATAGTGTTCCAATTATTGAAAATTTCTGTGTATTGTAACACATAAGTAATCTGTTACTAAGTAATCTGTCGGGCAAATAATAGAGAATAACTACATGTAACCGTTGAGTGGTTTCCTACAATATAAAAATTAAAATCTTTTAGACACTAACATCCTGTCTTGGCACTTATACCCTTTACTACTTCGTATTCGATTTATTATTTTTGCCACACTGTTCTTGATTCGTCTGTCGCAAACACGCTTGAAATAGCTCGCAGAAAGAATAAGGGTGGACCGCGAGGTCAAAATATTTTGAGCCTTTACGCTATCGTTCGCGATCGCATCGCGGACACGTTGGAAAGGGTTCGCGCGGCCGTGAAAGCCAGGGGAGAGGGAAAAGAAGAGGGTGAGACCGCGCGGGTAGGTGCACGGATGCGTTACATGCTCCAAGTGATGGCTAAGGGCGGTGGATGCTCGGGTTCTTGCGACCGCCCTTGCTCCTTCGCATCGTACGTGCATCTCGCTCCGAGAGTTTCCGCCTTTTCTGCTAACCATCGGCGTACACGCGGCCTGGCTCATCTGCCGAAACGCTTCCTGGAGAACGCGTGCGTGCTATAATTCATCGCGGTCCCCGCTGCTCGGCTGACTGGCGTTCACCGTGAACTGTGAAAAATGAAATTACACGCGTGACATACGGAAATTGTCAACATTTTTATTTCAATAGAAACTTACAAATGTAACACTTGCGAAATCCCAGCTTCGTAACATTTCTCTTCTATTTGCGATTGTCTATTATACGATAACAACCGTAATAAAACGGCAAATATGGCGAATAAAGAAAACGAAGTTATGGCGCAGCAACCGCAAAAAGTAATAACTGATATTTTTTTCGACTGTATAAACGGAAAACGCTTAATGCAAATGAATGGAAATGCAATGAAATAACTGGGGAGCGAAAAGGTATATCAAATTTTGCCGAACGTTCCACAAAACGAGCTCTTACGTAACGCGACGCGAGGATCGCGAAAATTTTCGCGCGAAACTGCTGCAACTCTCCGCGCGCCTGATTAGCGAGGCAATTTTAACGTAGTTGATTTCCGCGCGCGAGTCCAACTTGCAGTCTCGCGCTTTAACTGTTTAACTGCAATTTATTATCGCGATTCCGGCTGTCCGACTGCACCGCGGCGCTCACCGGCGGCGCTTCCTTTAACTCGATTCGACGCGGCACTCCGTCCGTGAATGCGCGAGTGCGCTATCAAAATAACGAACCTATCCCGCATCTTCGGGCGTATCAATCGCTCGAGTGCATTTCAAGTGCGGCGCGCGGGATACGCCGCACTTCATGCATGCGTGAGCATCAGCCCGGCCCCACCTGCCCCCATTGACGATGGTCCCCCTCTCGAATTCGTGCCCCGTTGGCCGCGGGTAGGCCGCCGAAAAACCCTAATTCGGTCGATCTCGTGCCTCGGCGCGAGATACAGCTATCGCGATTGCGGTCGGAACATCGATGCCCCCGATCCTCGAAAGGGATCCTCGATGAGAAACCCCCTTCAAAGTGCGTGGCGTCGAACGTACGTGATCCTTTGTGCGATCGACGAGTTTATTTTAAGAGGCGCGTAAAGTGGCAAAAGTGGCGTTTTACGGCCCCGAAGGTTTCGCGGATATTTACAGACAGGGAAATAGTTAATCAAACGTGTGCTTTTGTTTTTTAAGAGGATAGCCAGGACACAGCGGGTAAACAACAAATCGCGCGGTAAATGTTAATACGGTTCGCGTCCGTCAAATTGTCCGTTTTAATTTCGGAATTTGCGAGTGCGCGAGATTTCAAGTACAGCCTGGGTTAATGAACATTTATTATGTAGCGTTACATCTCTGGGTTTCCGCGTGCAGATATTATTGGAGCGTCCCAGTTTCCTCTGACATTTTGAAATTTAACGGCGTAAAGTTTTTCGAAAATTTACATGAATCGCGGACGATCGTATTTCAGATACGCCAAAAATCGTATTTCGAGACAGGAAAATTGGATCATTTATTTCCCGGAGGTCGAGGACTTGCGCCGTTGACTTTATCCTGAGAGAGGATAACGCCCTCGTCGTCGTCGCCGCGGCCACAAATTTTCGCGATGCATCGAGTCGCGCGTTAATTTTCTAGTATCCTACGGAGGATGTAACGCTTTCGATCGTCATTGTCGTCTCTCGGCAATGAATTTGCGACGCGTCCCCGTTTGCGCGATCTTTCGGGGTTCCGCCGCTTGATGCTCTCTCGCTGATTGCGGGATTCATGAGGGGGCCGTACGCCGCTATTGGGAAACGCACGGCGGATGTTAACGATCGGTTGCCGCTACGGTAAACGTTTCGCTGTTCGCCAGGATTGCCGAATGTAAACTGTCTATTACCGGCGTTTCGCCGTAGCGAAAATCGCATCGAGCGCGCGCTTATCAGCGCTACGTACGATCGAGACGAGGATAACGCACAGTGTTTCCGGCGCTCCGAGCGTACGCGAGCGAGCGGAAGGTGTAACGAGATGATTAGTGATAAGCGATCGTTGCATTCGCAAATTGGTGGGACAACATCTTGCGGACTTACGAGTCGAAATTTTGTCCCTGTAGAATCTCGATTTTTTTATCCGAGGTAGGAGTAACAGAGTAAAAATAGGCGTTATTTAAACATTCAGCTGCTACTTTAACGCTACGTGTGTCCGAAATTTCCTTTTTTACTGCTAGGAGCTTCAAAGCGGGCTAAGGCCAAACCCTCTTTTAACATTCTTATATCCTAAAAATGTATATGGATTTTTGGTAGCTAGGTCATTACTTTTTTACTTATATTGGAACCATAATGATTACAATATTATTAAGAAGTTCTGATAATTATAAATATTTGCAATCAAAATAGAGAATATTTATGACAATTTTTAATATTATATAATATAAATGAATATTAATTATCATCAATCAATCAATACCTTTTAGTTGAATTTAGTATATTATAAATATTTGTAATCATTAGAATTTTCTTAATAATATTGTCATTACAACATAAGTAAAAATACCTGAAATCGAGCTCGAAGACGACTTTTTGGATCGAACGGTAAGGTGATTTCGAATATCATTTACCCCTACAGCGAGCCATTTGGTACGCGTAATCCCCCGTTGATATTCGCTCTTGTCGTATTTAAATTTCAACGCTACGAGGGAGGGCTGTTGAGAAAATTGTTGACACCACGTGCACGTAGCGGAGAAAAAACTTTTGAGATGTTCTCACAAAAAGTTTTTTGTTTTTCGTAATATTTTCGCGACTCCTTTTCGTAACGCGGGTAAAAATGAATACTCGCTGCAGGGGAATAAACTTTGAGCACGTCACGCCAAAAGCATACAAAAATATCGTCGAAAGTTACACAAAAAAAAGATAAAAATAGAAGATTATAAAAACAGCAAAATTTTCCTTTCCAAGTTCTTTTAGATGCCTCGGGCAACACTGATTCCGGAGGTAATTAGCGATCTAAAAATCACGCGGGATACTCAGGATTTCAGAGGATTAAGATTCGAAAATACTAATCGTGTGCACGGAGGAAAAAAAATGACGTATCAACCAAATCAGCGTAATTGAAATAAAATCGTTAAAACGCCATCGATATTAATCAACAAAAACATCAGATAGTCGCCTCAGTAATCTGGATGTTTAGTTCAATGCTTAAAATTAAAATCCATAGCAAATCGAGTGAATTATTTCTGTTCATGGCAGCCCGTGACGTTTAATTCAAGTAACTTCATTTCTTTTTAATTCAACAGCATTTTTTTCCGCGTGCAGGTATTGGAGTCTCGATCGGGACTTTCAATTTTTTTTCTGCGCCGCGGGAAGATCTACCTCAGGCTCGTTCGATCCATATCCGGGGAGACAAGCTACTACTTAAGAGAAAGAACTATCGCCACTCGGGCTGTGCATCCCGTATCCTCTCGGGCGCCCGTAGAAATAAGCCACGAGCGCGTCGAGCAGTCGAGCGCGCCACGCGATAAGACAGAAGGGGACGGACGCCGGCTCGTCGGGGGCCTCCTGGGACCAGTTGAGGTCTTAATTACTGGCCTCTCACAGCGGAATGCCGTGTTATCGCGCGGTTACTTCTGCCCGCTTGCACACGTCGGGCATTGAATTACACTTTGCTCCTTTCTCGAGCGACGCGACGCGACGCGACGCGTTTCTTCCAGAGTTTCGAGACCCCGAGCGACGCGCTGTCGCGCGCGATAGTTGCGCGACACGCGGGTGGACCGCTTGTCTGTAAGACGTGGCTAAATTTCTAACGGATAAGCCGTTGACTACAATTTCGTACGTCCTTTTACGCTCTAATTATTGTTGTCTTTGTCATTGGTATCATATTATTTCTCGCGACTCCTTCCCTTTTTTGCGTAAAGCAGGGTGTCCAGCAAACTCAATGAAAAAAATCCCCTGTCTTTTTCAGGTTTTCCAGGAGCCGGAATTAATTTTTCCCTGACCGTTTGGTGTAACTTTTTTCAAAATGCATAATTTGCGTACATCTGTATGGTAAATCAAGTAAATGTTAAATGACGAAGTCCTTGAAATATTTTTCTCGGGAAACAATTTAATTCTTCAAAAAATAAAACAAACAAAGAACAGGTTTTTAATTAAAAAATTTAAATTAAAGCAATTATATCATCTACGTATAATACATTGTATAAAGCCCAATGTCCACGATGCTAGAACTTGGACCAAGTTCTAGCATCGTGGACATTGGCCTTTATAGGAACGATAGGAACGCATCATATATGATGCTTTCATTTTGCTTAACTGCATTTTGTTTGCAATTTATTTGATAGTAACTTACTTGGATAGTACTGTTTAGTAATTCATCCGTTTTTATAGTTTTGTCTCAGTTGAACACATTGAAATAAAATAACACGACGATGAAAATTTAAATTGCCGACCACACTTATGAATAAACGTTTAGCAAAACAGAAAATTAGTGTGTCGAAAGAAAAGTTTATTTTCTAAAAACTTTAAATTATTCAGAAAAATGTGAAACAATGTAAAAAAATCCAGATAAATAGTAAAATTTCCTGACTTTTCCCTGACATTTCCAGATTTCCAAAATTCCCTAACAATTCCCGGTTTTTCAGATTTCCCTGACCACTGGACACCCTGGTAAAGATATCGATGTGATGTTCAGCATGTGACATATTACGTTCTCTCTTTCCTCTGATGGCTAAACACAGGAAAATTATAATATATAAATGTATTATACAGGGTGTACCTAAACTGGCAAAAAATATTTTAATGACAAGTACTTTGTAATATTTCGAGGCAAAAATTCTAATACAAAAATGTCGAGGCTATAATAATTTTCGAATGGGAAGAGTTTAAAGAGGCTAGAATTTCGCGCGCACAGGGATCGCAAAGTGGCAAATTTCACCGCGGGGGCCATTACCATTTTAACCAAATAAATACAATAATGACAGCTGACACGTATCAATATCGATTTGAAGTATTGAATAAAAATATTTTAAACTATTTTGGCAACTCTTTACATTTACATTTCATAAACAGAAATAGTTTTGTAATAAAATGCTTGCATGATTTTTACAATAATTTCATTATTGTAAAAGATGTGCGGTTCAAGGAAGTGCCTTTGCTACTGACCACTTTGCCATCTCTGAGCGCGCGAAGTTTTAGCCTCGGCAATTTCGTATTAGAATTTTGGTCTTAAAATGTTACAAAGTACCTGTCATTAAAATATTTTTCGCCCGTTTAGGTACACCCTGTATAGTAAATAAGATAGATATAAAAATATGAAACGTATATAACCTGTAAATAATGAAAAATAATTATACAAGCGCGTATATTTCCGATTTCAATTAAAGTAATTTCAGTCATGTGCTGCATACTTTTCTCAACGAGGAGTTAATTTTATCTGGGCGGGCTGAGTTCGGACGTTAAGCTAATAAAGTTGACCTTACCGCCTCAGCATCATCTTGTTTGTCGCGCAGGTGTGAACGATATATTTTCCGGAATTTGGAGTGCACCGGCGCGTTAGTGTCCGGCCGTCAGCTTTTATTGCGCGATTAATTTCGTCCGCTTTACGTATGGTCCACGGTCAAGAGGCGCATCACTCTTCGACCCTTGCTGTCCTGTTCCGCGCTGCAACCGCCCTTGTACTGCACAAATCCACGTTGTACCGTAGAAGATCCGGAACTGGATTTGGAGACTCTATATAACAGATTAAAAAAAATATTAGTTGAAAATCTATATATCACAGAAGATGAAACACCTGACTCTTTCATTTCAAAGGGGAAACAATTGCAATTTCTAGAAATTTAACAAGTCCTTTAAGAGCAATAACATTCCAATTTGCTTAAGTTTGCACACGAAAATATAATTCCGGAGGAAATTATCGGAAATACAAGTATTGATTTCTCCTTAAGTTTCATGTACAGGCTAACAAAAAATACGACAACGTGAGACTTTAATCTTACAGCTTGACATCGTATACAATTTTACATTTTAAGTTGTATTACAAAATATAATTTATACTACTGTGAAACGAAACAGATATAAAAATATGTTTAAATGAACGGAATAAAATCTTATAATGTCAGAAAAAATTTCTCTTAGTTACCGCCACACGGTTTCTATCTACCAGTCTTAACGTTACTATAACTTTCTCCTGCTACAGAATCACACGAATACAACGCTGTTCTATCCCAACGAAATCTCCAGGATCTCCGTCACCTTACGAAGAGAACGACCCCACATAGCGGTACGCCAGGTGCGTCGGATATCCTCGGAGAGATGTTTCGAGCGGCTCAACGTAGAGTAAGTCAAGAGCACGATCACGCTGTTGCTAACGACCAGGCTAACGTATATCAGTCGTAAAAAAGGGCCGCGCGCGACTTTATTTAAGCCCTCGTTTCCTCCGAAACGAGGGATTTCTCGGTTCTAAGAGCGTACCGCCGGCTGGCTGCGATCATCTCGATCCGTGGAGACCAACGTTGGGAATTGTTTTTACGGCTTCGCGATATCATCTGCACCGCGGAGGGAGCGGATCGCGCTTTTGTGAGCCCCGGCACGTGTGAAAATGCGCGAGCGGATCTTCCGAGGCACTTCGGAGTGATTCCGGCTCGTCGTTATACTCCGATACTGAATGCGGATGTACGCGCGTGTTAGCTTCATTTTTATAACGGTCAGAGGAGAGCACGTTAGAAGACGAGCGACAAGATCCGGTTTGAGCACGGCGTGCGAATGATACGAGATCGCTGATTACATTTTACAATTACGGCTCAGAGTTATTGCCGCACACGTCTGATATTCCATTAGTTCGTCAGGTTATCCGGACGCTTAAAATAATAATCGAATTTCTTATCGCGCCACGCAGTATGTCGAAATAACATTGAGCGAGGCAGACAAGATTAGTTAAATATTTTGTTTCAAATTAAATTTATGTACGATAAAGGAGGCAAACTCATTTTGGATATCAAAATGCAAGTGTATTAATTATGACGAAATATAGAACGCATGAAATAAGGTAATTTATCAATTAATTGAGAAGAGTATTCTAAAGGTTTTTACGATCTATCGGGAAATAAAGGGTCGTATAACGACTTTACTACTCGGCAGTCCCGATATCTCGATTCAGCAGATTTATGCCGCTTTTATCCAGCTGGATGTCCTCTATTTCCGCCCGATGATATCGTTTCTCTCTTAAGTGTATTTTCCGCCGTATTTCCTTTCCGAATTATATCTGACCGGTTAACTTAATATTAAGTTACGTTGTCCTTCTATTCCTGACGTGTATTTCCAACACGTCGGCTTCGCTCTATTCCTGACGTGTATTTCCTATAGATGGCACGATCCACGTTCGTTCGTCAAATCTGCATAAAGCACCGTCGAAAATGTCGACGCTTACCAAACGATACTGCAATGCAGACCGACGCGCGATTCGCGATAACGAACTTTTCGAATCTGACATTTCTCGTGGAAGAAAGCTATCGAGTTATAATACGAGTACTAACGTTTCAAATTTATTGCATTAATCGCAGTTTCCACACATATTTTTACAATAACCCGAGGCGAAAATCTGTTACATGCCTCAGTCAGTGGTCGATTACAATTTGGAGCAGATTTAAGAATATGACGCAGTGCATTCAAAAACGGAAAGCAAAGAATTGAGCGTAGGTGTATGTCGTGATGACTTATACGACTTAGATTTTCGCCTCGGGAACTGGTACGTAACATATTAATATTAACAACGTCAGTGTTTTCTTGACCATATATCTGGCATTTTTAATAATACAGAAAATTTATTGCGAAAAATATTACCTCAGGTACAGATACAAAAATATTACCAGGGTTCGAACCTGGACTTCCCTACACTCTAGGCGGGCGTCTCACCAATTCGGCCGCTGAGGCATGTGGTATTATTTTCATTGTCGGTTTATATATATATTAATATTAAACCGACAATGAAAAAAATGCTGCACTAAATTTTACCCCTGGTTTCTTCCCCGTATATCTTTTCCGTCCGCCACGAAAGAAAAATAAATCGGACGTTATCTCACGATGACTTATTACATCCTTCGTTTATCAGGATCATCCTGAGCCGCGATGGTAGTTATGTTACCGAAATTTAACCACGGCGCCGTTGACGATTAAGCATCTGTACCCGAGCACCGGCGCTCGTATAGCGTAATAACACGTACCGACATAACCGATCATTAATCCGCGGCGAAGTATGCGTGCGCTCGCGGAAACGATCGTAGAAGCTGCTGGCGTTCCGATGGCGCATGATTAATAGAAGCCCCGCGAGAAATTGGCTCTTAATGACTCGACAACGAAAAGACCGCCGGTGCGCCGACAGCCATTAAACGCGTTTTTAGTCACGCCGGCTTGATTTCTACTTGAGCTAATGGGCTTTTCATCGGTTTTGGGTAATTCGAGGGATGGGAGAGCGCGGGAAAAAGAGAGAGGCCTGGATCCCGTTTCTCTCCGTCATTGTGCAACATATTCCGAAGGTGGTGAACACGCGCCACCTCATTTCGGGTACCAGGCCGCGTGCAACGGCGGAATCACGAGCGGCAAAGGGACAGCGAGTACTCATTCATTAGAGAAAAACACCTGCAGTTTAAGGATTCTTTTATGTCGACGATATTTTACTTTAAATTCGGCTGAAGGTATTGTAGTAACGTATCTTTCTTTAGCACTTCTAGGTGTAGAAATGCCCCCAGTACACCCTCCTCAGAAAGGATTTCTGTTACCGAGAACAAAAATATTCTTGACGCATTTACATTTCTCACAACCTCGTTTAGTATAAAAATAAGACAATATCAAATATAAAATCAATAATTCTTATTCTTCTCTATCGAATTAAAAGAGATTGACTTACTATATTGAGACAAGAGTAACTTATATAAGTGTAAGTGTATATATTTTTGCGTTTAGAATAAATTTTCCCTCCAGCTTACAATGCACGAAGTTGGTACCACGATATTCGACAAAAGACGATACGTACTATCATTTTATTATAGATTTTAGAATTTTTCATTTAATTGTAAGACTAAAATATTCTTTTCTCTATAATAAATATGATTGGCGCTATATCGATCCTATTTTATTTATTTTATGATACATTCAAATGTAATAGCATTGGATCCGGAATTTTTTTCCGCGGGTGTAGCAATATATTGGCGCAATATTGGCAAATAATGTAAATCTGGTATTCCCAATATTGGTCCAATATTGTAAATTCTCTTATTTAGCCAATATATATCTATTTAGCAATATTGGTTTGATATTGTATCCATATTAGACCAATATTCTTATTACATTGTTAAATATCGACCAATGCACTTCCAATATAAATCCATCATATAATTATTATCGTGCAATAGTTACATTTATTCCATGACCAATATTGGCTTTACGTTAGACAATATCGGTCAACGCATTTTTAATATAACCAACATTGGGCTAATGAATTGGTGGGGGGGAGGGGGGGGGGGAAGGAAAGCCAATGCGAGCCAAATACAGCTATTCGTGCGAAAATGTTAAATATGGAACTTTATATTGAATTTATAAATTAATCACCAAACGTTTCGACCCATTTTCGTGTCATCCTCAGTGAGACAAAATTAAATCTAATAAACTCCAAAAACGAAGACGGAGAACGCATGTTTGCAGCCAGCGTGTGCATTAATCCAAAGAGTAGAGACTAGAGCTCCCTAGTACACGTGTACTAGACTACACGTGTAATCCGTGTATTTAACTTATCCGTATTTTAACCCGTGTACACGAATTTAAAGAATCTTCATTTACGTGAATCCGTGAACACGTGAATGTGACACGTGTACACGAATATCCGTGTATGTGACATATGTAAACGTGTAGCCGTGTATACCTCAATAGGGAAATATTTAGAGAATTATGTGACAAAATCTGGATAAAGCTTGGAATGCTGGAATTATGCGTATACATATGTCGAACAACATATGCGGAAATAGAGATCTTTCATCAAATTTTGATAAATATTTGCACACGTTTACACGTATCGCACATACACGGATATTCGAGTACACGTGTCACATACACGAATATTCGAATACACGTGTCACATACACGACTATACGTGTACACGTGAATGAAGTGTACTTAAATCCGTGTACACGGATTACGTTTATTCTCTATTACTCTACTATAGAGACGGCTTTCAATAAACAAATTGATGGGGGGAAGAAGGCCAATACGAGTCAATTGGGCTAATGTTTAGCTAATGCATTGTGCTACTAGGGATTAGCTGAACACATTTGAAGAATCGCAATTAAGGAAACCGGCCGTGATCTTTTCTAGATATCGTTTGTGCTCTTTGAACGTTCGATTCTGTTAAACTATACTCAACTACCTTCTTTGCTGCATCTTATCCTTTTTTCCCCTACCATCTCCGATTCTATCCGCGTTGTTTCTACGGAAATATATGAAAAATGAAGAACAAAATTCCCACCCTCGTTTGATCTCCGGAGATCCGCGGTTGAAGATCTCTCGCGCGTTTTCCGCGCGCGAGCGATAGAAACGTTAATCTGATCAGAACGCGACTCTGCTGAACTCCGAGCGATATCCCCGGCGTGTCTTCGGCGAAGTCTCGGCGCGGATTATCGCGTCAGACGCTAATATCGAGCGCCGGATCGCGGATTCGATGGAGAAACGGCGCGGATGATGTA